CAAGCGATTCTCTTGCCTCCGCCTCCCAACTAGCTGGGACTACAGGCACCCACCACAACACCCAGCTATTTTTTGGTTGTAGTTGTCATTGTTGTTTGGCAGGTCCAGGCTGGGTTTGAACCGCCAGCTCCAGTGTATGTGGCTGGCACCTTTGCCGCTGAGCTACAGGAGCTGAGCTACGGCAACATAGTTCCTTATTACCAAATATTATGTGCTGTACATAATTGTCTGTGCCAGACACAAACATGTAACTGTGCTGTGCTATGTCAATGTTACTAGATGACAGGAGTTTTTTAGCTTCTTTATAATCTTAAGTATGGGACCAGCATCCTGTGTGCAGTCTGTCACTGACCAGAACACGTGGCTGAACTTAGTATCCACCAATAGAATGGATATAGGATACAAAAACAAATGAATATCAAATGAATACTTGGCAAAGGGCAAGTTATAAAAGTCAATTTGATTCTAACCCATATGTTACCACGTTATGTTCTACAGAGCATGGAAAATACTTTTGAAGTTATCAAGCATTTAGAAAATAATACCAAAGGAAAATTTTCAGAGAAGCAGGCTTATTTGATTCAACTTAGTAAAGAAACTGAGGATCAGAAGCCAAAATTAGAAAGAGTAACTAAACAGGTATGGATGTCTTTTCACAGTTGACCTGTCATGTTTACATTTTACAGGGTCCCAAATGGGACTTCAAATCTTCTTCCATCCATTAATAAACATTAAGTTCTGAAAATAAGTTTATATGAGAATTGTTATTTACCAACAGTGTGCAAAACTCACAAAAGAAATACGTTTTTTGAGAGACACAAAAGATGAGACAATCGAAGAACAAGACATCAAACTTCGTGAAGTGAGACAGTTTCACAAGGTCATTGATGAAATGTTGATTGAAGTCACAGAAGAAAACACTGAGATCCGTATTATCCTTCAAACATACTTTCAAGAGGTAATACATTACCTTCTATTAAGTATATTTTTGAAACTAAAATTAAAATGTTATGGCAATCATCACAAATGGAGTCTAATTAAACACATTTTCTTCTAACATGCAGTAAGTGGCACTAATGATTGCTGTTGGCTCTTCCTACAGAATGGGCTGGAATTCCCTACAGCCAGTACTAGGGGCAGCCATCAGAGTTCTAGAGCTTCTTCACACGCGTCACTGCCCTCAGTCAGGTAAGTAAAGTCAAACATCTTCCTAGCTCTCACAGCTGCGGGCCTGCGTGAGTCTGACCTCTCCTGCATCACCACAGCTGCTGGACTGGCCAGCGCACTGCCAGTCTCCCCTCCAACTCCGCCACCTCAGTAGGTCAGCGTCACACAGGTAAAATGCAGACGCAGCCAGCAAGACTTCCCTTCCGATTTCTGCTGGTGTCACCATTTTATCATGGTGCAAGTGCTCTGTGACTATCACCTATTTCTGTAGGATAAAGCAGAGATAAAGTGGAATTTGGGAGTTACATCTACCATTTGGAGGTGAACCCCAAGTTGGGGGAAATTTTTTAAACCATAAAAGGGTGGCTTAGAGGTATAGACATATGGAATAAGATATTTGTGATTAAAACATTATGAAATTTTACATAATCAGAATTTGATTTTATTCATGCTTTATTTTGCTGAAAAGGAATCTTTTCCCTTTCTACAGTTTATTGTTATCTAGAATTCTGTCACCCGGGGTGCTGAAATAAATCCTCTTGTGTTTTGCTGACAAAATAAAATTTATTAATAATGATCCGGATTTTACAATTCCTAAGCTCCTGCTTTCAGAAACTACTAAATTACTTGTCCTTAGTCTGTTTAGAGATTTCCTAAAGAAAAAGGGAAGTTCTAAAAGATAATGTTTCATTAGTAAAACAAACTGTGAAAGTATACTAAGTAGATAATTGAACATCCCTGTACTGCATAAAAATGTATTTTTAAGACCTGTCATTTCAGAATTGTGTGCCTAGGGCCATGCCTGGGCTCAGTGGGTAGTGGTGCCAGCCCCATATACAAAGGTGGTGGATTTGAAGCTGGTTCTTCCTAAACTGCAACAAAAAATAGCTGGGCATTGTGGCAGGGGCATGTGGTCCGAAGTACTCCAGAGGATGAGGCAAGAGAATCTCTAAGCCCAGGAGTTGGAGATTGCTGTGAGCTGTGACGACACAGCACTCTACCGAGGGCCACAAAAGACTCTTGTCTCTAAAAAAAAAAAAAAGACAGCATCGTATGGCTGTTTTTCAAGTGACCCCACCATTTACCTGTCAATCAATATGCTTCTTGCTTTTACTCTTACTCTTGCCAGCACCCAAACCCTTTTGCCCCTCTTTTGTTACTATGTTGGAGACCTTTATTGTCATGATTCCAACTGTAAAGTATTAGTTATAGTTGAAAACATTTTTGCTTATATAGAAACATACTTATTGAACTGTTTCCTACTGGTTTGAAACTATGGTCACCTTTTAAATGTAATGGTCTTATTTTAAAAGCTTTTAGTTTTTAATTATCATGGGTACATAATGGTTGTATATTTTTAGATTTTTATAAAATACACATGGTATTTTGATACAGGCACACAATGTGAATTAATCAACTTAGGGTAACTGGAGTATCCATTACCTCAGGCATTTACCATTTTTGTGTCAGAGCTTTCTAATTCCACTTAAAGCATACACTTGCTGTTGGTTACAGTCACTGTTATCAAAGATCGTTCATTCTAGCTGAACATATCTTTGCATCCATTACCTAGCCCGTTTCTCCTCCCCTCCTCCTGTTAACTATCATTCTGCTATCTCCTGGAGACCAGCTGCTTTTATATTTAACTATCATTCTGTTATCTCCTGGAGACCAGCTTCTTTTGTATTTAACTATCATTCTGTTATCTCCTGGAGACCAGCTGCTTTTATATTTGGCTCCCACATATGAACACAAACACGTGAGATTTGTCTTTCTCCTTTGGCTTATTTAAGAACTTTTTAACATCACTAGTATGTACTGTTTGGTCTATTTAACTACTTATGCAATCATGGTATTATTTATCCAATAGTGAAGGGGTCTATACTTAAATACATTTTGCATTTAATTTATAATAATTCTGGTTTTTCTTCTAGGTCATCTAGGAGTACAAACACGTCAGCTTCGCAGACTTCAGTTAAAGTAACAGAGTTCAACTTCCCAGGCTCCTCTACACCAGCGGACGGCGCTTCTAGGCCAGCCAGTGCTAGTAGTAGCTCTAGTAATGGTAAAAGCAAAAAGAGCCCCAAGTAAATGGTATTTTAACTCCTTTTTAAAAATCTTGTCAACCCCCAAATTTTACACTTTACAATACAAAATGACCCAACAAGTTTTATCCAATGGAAAGTGTAAAAAACTGAAAGTTTAAAAAAAGTCACGTATTTTTCTTAGTTTTCGTTCTGTTTTCTTCATTCGGATATCAAACAATGATAGCAGATTCTTGACAAGGCTACATGTTATATACACATAGGGAAATGAGTTTGTAGTATTAGAAAATAGTTTGCTGCATTGTTTCAGGAAACTATACTCACTTCTTAATTACATAATCTTTCAGGAAGAAATTTTTAAAGATTCATTATACTATTAAGAGCTCATAACAATTTAAAAGTTCTCACTTACCCTAAGATCCCCAAATTAGGTTTTCTTTATTAAAAGGAAGAATTTTTTTCCCCCAGACATTTGGGGGAAGAAATCAGTTAAAGAAGTTTTTTTGGCATAATTTTTAACCAAAAAGTAGCATTACCTCCTCCTCCCAAAGAAAACAATTGATAAGAAAGACAAAGACTGTATATCAATAGAAACTACAGCTTAACTTTTTAACAATTTCTTACACATCAAATATTTGCTTATAGATGCAGCTAACCAAACATAAAGAATATTTTTTTTTCTTGATTTAATAAACAATTTAAAGAAAACTAAGTATGGTTTGCAATAGGAATTTAACAAGTTTACAGTAGAGGCAGACCACCAGACTTAGAATTCGTTTTTCCAGTTAATACTTTACTATAACATGTGTTCAACACTTTGATGTTTCGAATAGATATGGAGCATTATAAAACTGGATTTTAAATAAATGTATTAGAATCCATGTACTTAAAAGAGTCTCTTTTATAAACCTTGGAAAAAATATTACAATTGAACTGTCCTTTTAATTTTCTTCTGAAAGTTAGTGGTAGTAAATCTTTCTCCTAATTATTATTTTGTTTTAGAAACAGGAAAAGGCATACCAAAGTAAAGTAAGATTGCTAAAAAAACTGGGTATCATTTTTAGCTAAAACATTGCTCTAATGAATGAGATTTATAAGATCTAAAAACTGATTAAAGTCACTTTGTTAACCGGTTTTTTCACCATTTTACTATA